TGGGATCTTGGGGACGATACCCAGCTCAGTCTGTGGGCCGTGATGAGACTGAATGAGGGCACCCAGGAGGACGGGCAGTTCCTTGTGTGGCACGTGGAGGCCACGTAAGTTTCCCTTCCTCCCATCTAAGGGCTCCTGGTAGGTGCTCATTCATGAATTTTCTCACCCTCGTTTGGCTGAAGGAGGTCAAAGGCCTCTCCCTGCGTCGTAGCATAGGCCTGAACCTCCGGAGACCCTGCGGCTCCTGCTGAGCGAGAGCAGGGAGGAGGAAGCGCGGCTGCCCGCTTGTGTCATGAAGTCCGCCGAGGCGCCGAATCTTCGCCCCCAGACACAGCGGCATGGCTGCAGCAGTGGCCAGGGCTGTGGGCAGAGGTGCGGCAGGTGACCTTGAGCAACGGCTGTGGGAGGACGCTCCTCCTAGGTTCCTGTGACTGTCAGAGGGCAGTGGGGTCACAGAGAAGGTCTCCTGGCCTTCTCACTCCGGCCTGGCTTTTTGAGCTGGTAAAATGCCAAGTGCCCAGCCCCGTCCAGACTGCTCCTCGGCTGAAGGCCAATGAATGGGAAGCCCCAGCCGTCCAGGCCACCCTCGTGGTGAGACCAGAAGAGTTGCAGGCAGCTGGGGCACGTCGGTGCTTCACTTCCAGGGTCTCGTGCCCTCCACCCAGGGCAGTTGTTGGGGCGGAGTTGGGGTGAGGAAGGGCTTTCTGCCCTCAGAGGGAGAGAAGGTCAGCACGAACTGGCCCCTTGACCTGTCCACACCTTTGTGCTGTGCCACAACAGAGGCTGGGCGTGGGGACAAGAGTCCCTGTTAATGGCTCAGCCTCGGGTCCCAGGAGGCTTCCCGGAGGCAGAGTGGGGGCGACCTTCCTGCAGTTCCCCGTTGATGGTGCTGCCTGCCTGGCGCTCTGAGAGCTGGTTGGCCCGGGAGCCTCGCAGTCCAGGGTTGGCAGAGGCCCAACGGTCACAGACTTGATGGGTGGGGGTGGGGGACAGACGGGACTCACTGACCTCCAGTGGAGCCTGCAGGTGCATGCTGCAGAGGGAGGGGTGAGCAGGGGGCTGGACGCCTCAGTGTCTCCCCACAGACAGCCACTGGGAAGCTTTTGGGGCTGGGACTAGGGTGTCTCTCCCAGATGGAGGGTGGCAAGGCTCCTGTCCAGGCTGTTTTCACTAGCAGTGTCCGGGGGAGAAGTAGAAGGGAATGGCCCCTTGCAGAGGGAACAGCTGGGGAGGGTGTTGGGGGGCCTTGGGCACAGCATTGCAGGAAGTGGGGAGCTAGTGGTGAGATCTAAGCAGCAAAGCCAGGCTAGGTCAGGCAGGGATCTGAGCCTGAGGAGTAGGAATCCCTCCTGCTGGCAGCAAACTGACAGGGAGCCTCACTGTGAGGGTGCTGGGTCCCAGGAATTTAGACCCACCCACTCCTCTTCCTGAGCGCTCCTTGTGCCACTGGGGCCTGAAGTCCTAGTTCCTGTCCTCCAGACGATCAATCAAGCACCACCAAGTGGGGACAGCGCCTGCCTGCAGCCAGTCCCGAGAGAAGGGAGCCCGGCCTGGCAGAGGCCGTTCCCTGGGGCATGAGGACAGCCACACAGGTGCCAGTTATGACCTGGCAGAGTCCTGAAACCCAGCCTGACCACAGGCGCCACAAAAGTCCTGTGATGGGCAGACAGCTGAGTCCCACTGCAGTCCACTCCAGACCGGGCAGGACTGTCAGCGGGCTTCCTGCTCCCGCTCGTGGAAGGCAGGATGGCGTGGCCCCTGCTCGGAGCTGAGGGCTGAAAGGTGTGGTGCCGAGGGCTTAGTCCAGTGTCGCTGCGGTGGCACCTCTGTCGCGCTGTCACGTGACTCATGCCCGGCGTGGGCCCGGCGTGTGCTGCTCGTGTACCGCAAGTGCTGGCTTCCTGTGTTGCCACTGTCACAGTTCTTGTGGGAAAGCTCAGAAACATGGCACTGGCCAGGACCCCACTCCCACAAGTCCCCCAAACAGCCCCGGTAAGCAACTTGGTTTTGGGGGATTTTCTCCTTCCCCCGGACATTGTCCCAGGGCCAGGACAGACCCTCTACCAGGCCTGGCATCCGGAGAACCAGCACCCTGGCATTAAAGGGACTGTAGGAGTTTCTGAGTCCTCAGCCGCCCCGTGGACTGCTTCCTCGGTGGCCTCTGCACCCTTCTATCCCTCTCTTTGCTGCAGCTCTGCAGCCCAGGGAGGAGCCTCCGTTTCCCACGCTCCCCCTGACGCGCACCACTTTCTCCCAGACGTAGGGTGCTGCCTAGGAAGACTGCCCGCGGGCCCCGGGCTCCCCCTTCTGAGGAGGTGGTGACCTTCCCCTGCCTCTCCAAGACGGGAATGCTGTTTCCCCAACCTCATTTGTCTCTTGCTAGCTCAGGGCTACCCGCTCTCCACTCTGTCCTCCTCAGGAGCTCCCGGCCAGGTAGCCTCATGGCCTTGTAGCTGATCCCCAAGGCGCGGGGCCTCCCGTTTCTTAACTTGGTGTGCGATTTAAGGGAAGAGTTAAAGCGTTGCAAATCTCTTTTCAACCTAATTCTGCCAGAAGCTCAAAAGGCCGTTTCCAGGTAAAATCAGAGGAGATTCTGGGTGCACTAGGGCTCCCCAGAGGGGTCTCCCTGAAACGCGGCTCTCCTGACACAGTTGGTACCCTGCGGTCATTTCTGGCACTGACCTCCCAGAGTTGGTGTCAGACTCAGTGCATGGTCTCCAACAGGACAGCCCCACCTCAGCCACCAGGTGTCCCCGGGACACTTACACCTCTGAGCCAAGGATTACAAACCCAGGGCTTTGTAATGACCCCTCCCCCCCAAGGGTCAAGAATGTACTAGAACGTTTCACAGAACTCCAAAAAGTTCTATGCTTATGATTATGGTCTTAACGTAGAGCCTACAAAGAATGAACAGATGAGACGCACAGGGCAGGTCTGGGAGGCCCTGAAGCCCGAGCTCCCCTGCCACCTCCCTGCAGACTTCGGGCGTGTCCCCTTCCTGGAACACCAGTGTGTTCGCTGACCAGGGATGGCCACTGTGCTTGCGTGTCCAGAGTTTTTAGTGAGGGGTCATTATGTAGGCCTGACTGATTGGTTCATGGGCCACATGACTGGACTCAGCCTTGCGCCTTCTCCCATCCCGGAGGGTCGATGGCTGAGCACCCTGACCCTCTAATCACATGGCGGCCTTTTTAGCATGACTAGCCTCATCCTGAAGCTCTCCAGGGGTGCACCCAGGGTCACCTCATTAGCATCATTTCAGCCAGGTGGCAAAAGGGGCCCAGGAATACTAAGGTACCCCTATTGGGAAATTCCAAGGATTTAGCGCTTTCTCCCCAGGACTCAGGGGCAAAAACTTACATTTTTTATTATACAAGAGTAGTGGACACTGCCTCAGCTGTTTCGGTTGCCGGCCACCTCCCTCCACTGTAAGTGTCACCTGTGTGCTTGCACTTCCGGTATCTCGTTCGGTTCCTACCACAACCTTCTGAAGTCTTCGGTGCTGTACTCATTCTAAAATAAGAAACTGAGGTCCCCAAGGGCTAGTGACCATCTTAAGGTGACACAACTAAAAAGTGCCTTGGAAGGATTCAAATCCAGCTAGCCAAATCTGGGTCAGATGCCTTCTGAAGTTGGCCCAAACACAGGCTGTCACATGGTCCTCGGGCTGGACGGTGAGTCTCCCTGAGTGAGCTCCGGCTCTGGAGGGTGATCACACTTGTCTGCTCCACGGTCCACTGTCGAGGGTTCAGGACGGCAAAGGGCCTCCCCAACGCCCTGTTGGGTTGTCCTGCTCCATCCAGCTAATGACGAGCAGCCATACCAGGCTCGGCCTGTGAGGTTCCCACTGGGCAAGGAGGAGCATCAGCAGGCAGAGTCCTGGGGCTCCCTCACCTGCCCTTGCAGGGTGACCTGTCTCTCCCGTCCAGGGCAGAAAGGCCTGGAGCCAGCTGAGCAGGGCAGCCCCCAGTGCGCCTCCCAGGCCCTGGCAGAGGTGCATTGGACAGGAGAGAGCACTCCAGGCAGGGCGGGCCTAGCAGGGGTCCCTTTCTCCCCTTTCCTCCCCTCCCAGATAGAGGGGTACACTTGGCATTTCTGCATTGTCAGGCCCTGACGGACCTGCACGAGGTTCGGTCAAAAGCCAGACCTGAAGTCTGGGAATTGGCAATATTGGTGAGATTCCCAAGACGTCCTGGTCTCTCCCAGCCACACCCGTGGCTCTCAGTTGGGGGTGTTCTTGCCCTTATAAGGCGTTTGCAAATTTGTGGGAGAGTCACAATGACTCAGGATGTTCCTGGCCTTTGTCTTGTGGGGCCCAGGGATGCCGAGCGTCCCACAGTGAGCTGGGCGGCCAGGCACAGGGTAGCAAGGACAGTCCTGTGCGAGACACAGGAAGTGGCCTGTCCACTGCCCTGCTCTGGCTCTGCCTTCTGCACCCTCCCCCAGACTGAATCTCAGCATATGACAGTGACAAGGTCGAGCTTTAGGTGGACACGGGCAGGTGGAGAGGAGCATCTCGTTCCCCTGCTCTGACTCTTCCTTCCTGGTTCTTGCTCATTTGGGCTCCCCTGGGGCAAAGAAGACCAGGACTTGGGGGGTGGAGGTTCACATGCAGTGGGAGGGCGGGATTCATGTGCAGTGGAGAGTGGGGTTCACGCGCAGCGGGAGGCTGGGTTTACGTTCACGTGCAGTGGGAGGGCTGGGTTTACGCGCAGCGGGAGAGCAGGGTTCACGCGCAGCGGGAGGGTGGGGGGTTCACACGCAGCGGGAGGGCAGGGTTCATGCACAGCGGGAGAGAGGGGTTCAGGCGCAGCGGGAGACCTCCTCCTTGGCCCGGCAAGAGCACCTGAAGCCAGGCGGCCGCGCAGGCGCTGGCTCCGTGACCGTCTCTGCAGCTCCGCCTGCCTCTGTGCCTCTCGTTTGCTCCCTGTCTCCTTGGATTGCATTCAGAAGAGTCTCCCCAGATGTCGTGTCTCAACACCCCTCTTCTTCTTTTGCAGTCGGGAAGACGTCTCTGATCACGAGGTTCATGTATGACAGCTTCGACAACACGTACCAGGTGAGGCCCTGGGTGCTCTGGACCCCAGCCCACGCATCTGCGCCTGCCGTGGCCCAGCCGGCCTCTCCCCAGGGCTTCCGGACTGGGATGAGAGTGGGGTAGCCTCGTTTTCCTGGGGTGTCATTCTGCTGGAGGAGAGTTTCTTACCTGGGTACTGGCCTGCCCAGTAAAGCTCTCGAGCCCGTCTGAATGTCCAGACCTCAGTAAAAACAAACAAACAAAAATGTCCAGAGAGAAAACCTGCAGCTTGGGGAGAGGACCCTGCAGCTGTGTTCCCTTGCTCCTCACAGGCAGGTCCGAGCCGCGGTGGTGCCTGCTTACCTCGGGGCCGTAGGTAACTGACAGAGAGTGTGCATTAGAGATTGTGCGGGCATGGCCATGTTTGCCAGGACTCATTCTCCCTCTCTCCCCGTCTCTCCCACACGCACACGTGCCCTCCCGGGCTTGTTTAGGCACTTTCTTCCCTAGAGAGGCTTGTGTGGGCTCGACCTGTCTGTACCAGCAGGAGGCTGGATGAGATGTCCGTGGCTGGCTCTGGAGTGGACTGGAATCCACCAGAGGCCCGGAGGCGGCCCCAGGTGGCCAGAAGGCTGAGCTCGCAGGCCAGTAACATCACTTCCCTGGCACCATCGGTGGGTGGGGAAGTTTCTGGAAGTGACATGAATTTTCCTCGCAGAAAGTACCCCGTTTAATCATTTCAGCCATCCTTAAGGCAGAGATACTGCTCTCTCCCTCGGGTTAGAGACGGGTTATAACACGCTTTTCTGCACCAGTGGGTCCTGCGAGCTGCTGCTTCCAACAGGTGTCAGTCGGTGTCACTTGAAGCCAGAGGGGGCGGTGGTGACTCAGTGTGTGTGTAGATGCAGGGCGCCGGGTGACAGGAACAGGTCGCCCGCTGTCCTGCGGGGCTTCCCAGGGCCTGGCAGCAGTGCGGGCTCCGACATGCTCCGAGAGCGACGGGGTGTGCACGACCTCCCGGGTGTATTTGATCATGGAACCCTTCCGTCATCGAATCCTCCAAGGGCAAATATTTATAGAACACACCGAGGCCTGCCGTTCTAAGGCGTCCCTCCCCTTCCCTGGACTTTGAGAAGACACGGAGCACAGCATACTGGGGGGTCGAAGTTCCGTGTCCTAGCTTGGGCGCTCACCTTCGCCTGACTCTGCCGTGGTCTGGAAAGCTAGGTGACCAGTGGAATTGGGAGCAGTAGACTGTCGGCTAAGAACGACTGGAGCCCTGAGCGTGTCCCCAGCCCAGGGCGTGGGCTTTGGACATTCGTTATGGTCTCGCCGGACCAGGGCTTCGAACTACCGCTAGCTTCCTAGCAGCCTCTCCTGGTAAGGGGCGTCCTGCCGTGTCAGCTCGGATTAGAGACGATGATGCTGACGGACTTGGGTTCTGAGGTCTGGCTTGGTGTTCCCTTGTGTGTGTCTCTGCGACCTCACATACTTGATTATTTGACTTCTTTGAATATGAAGTTACTTACAACGTCTCTGGTGTTCCGGTGAAGACAGGAGACTCCGGGTCCGCTGGTGTCTGGCAGGTGTCTGGCAGTGGGGGGGCGCAGTGGAGCCCCAGGGCCCTTGCAGTGGTCTCTATGGGTGTGGGTCAAAGCTCCGGCTCCTCCCCATGTTGGTCAGACCCCTCCTCCGTCCCCACTGTCACCTCCCTCGCCCAGTGCTCGTCCTGCCTCCCTGGTCCAGTGGGCATCCCTGTTGGCTGTGCCCCATGCAGTGACACTGTCACACCTCCACACCTGGGCTCATGCCACTGCTGGGATGCCTTTCCTGTCCTCGCGGCCCGGGAGCAATCTCTGGCTCAGCAAGGCCTGGGATGTTTGCTCAGAGTGGAGTGGAGCTGAGCGGCTGGCTGCTCTGCCCCTCCACCTCTCTTTCTCCTCACAGCTCCGCCCACAGGCTGGTGTGGCCTCCCACCTGGAGGGCGACTTCCTTGTGCTGCTGCTCTGAGCCAAGCTGGGGGCTGGGCTGAGGCCCAGCACCCCTCAGACCTGCCGCTGCGATTGTGGGCCAGCACAGTCCTGGCCATGGTCAGTGCAGAGGTGACCTGGAGGGGCACTGTGTCCTCAGTGCTTAGCCCCCGTCGGCCTGAGAGGACAGAGGCCCGCTAGCATGGTGTGAGGGGATCCCAGGAGAGCGACCGCCCTCTGGGGGCGTCTCGGCCCTTGTGGCGGTGGCTGCGGCTGCAGCAGGTGCGGTCCCTCCCAGTGCCCGCTGCGTGATGATGAGGCTAGGAGCGGCCCGCCCTGCACACAGGCTCACGTTAATGAGTTCTCTGGAGATGGGAAATGTCATCTTCTTTGTTTTGGTTTCCTTAACACAGAAGCAGAAGCGCTTGGGAAGTGGGCAAAGACCCCCACAGGCCAGGGAATGGACCTGCCCTGCCCACCACGTTGTCCCTGCAGTGACCGCTCCCGCCCTTCCCACAGACATCCTGCCCGTCGGTCAAACAGCCTGGCAGAGCCTGCCCTGCCTCCCAGGACGGAGCTCATCCTCCCTCCCTCCATCCCTCCATCGGCCTCTGCCCGTCCTTCCCCCCTCGTTCTGATGAAAGATGTGTCAGTACTACTCCGGGGGCCAGCCAGTGGCGTGGTGGTGAAGGCAGCTGGATCCCATGTGACTGGCTGCACAGTTCAAGTCCTAGACCAGGCAGCTTGAAAAAAATATGCCATGTGCATGTGTATGTGTGCCCAACCCCAAGAGAATGACTGAGAAGGGACTGTGGTGTGGCCATCCTTCCAGGGGAAGGGGGTGTTTTCTCATTTTTCTCTCTCTCTTTCTCTCTCTCTTTCTCTCTGTCTCTCTGAGGAATGTATCACTCTATGGTAAAAAAAAAAAAAAAAAGTAAAGGCTTCTCTGAGTTTGGAGAGGCAGTGGGAGATGGTGACCTGACCATAGGCCAGCCCTCCCTCACCCAGGGCATGGAGGGAGAGGGACTTTGCCCCACCCTGGGTGTCAGTGACGTTTCCCCCACTCCGGGGCTGACCGTGCGTGAGGCCCCGAGGAGTTGGCTGAGGACCCGGGCGTGCTGCACTTCCCCTGCCCGTCCCCTGTGCAGGCCCTGGAGAGATGCCGCCGTGAAGCTGCAAACACACACAGCCTTTACTTCCCCTTTGACATGTGCTCTCTGACCTCTTGCCCATCTGCCCATCACCCCATCAATTCACGTCACTTGAAGTGATGGAAAAAAAAAAATTCAAGACTCTGGGACCAGCAGATGGCTGGTCCAGCGCAATGGTTATGTCACTGGGCTCCCATGTAGTCGACTGTGGTTCGAGTCTCAAACCTAACCTGGTGACTTAAATCCACGCTGGGCGCGTGTGCATGCGTGCCCCAGATCCTGAGTGGAGAACGGAGAAGGGATTGCACTGTAGCCACCCCCCGGGATGATTTTGCATTTTCTGTCCGCCTGTCTCTCTGGCAAGCGCACATGCCTTATAGCAAAAATCTCTCTCTAAAAAAAAAAAATTAAAACTCGCAGCCAGAAGAGGTTTGTGTCTGCAATGATTATCTTCCAGAATTTATTATAGGGAAACAAAAACAAAAAAACCTTCCTTTTTTTTTTTTTTTTTTTTTTCCTTGGGGCCTT